AGACTGTGTGCACAGTGGGGCTGGTGTGCTGTACAGACTGGCGTGAGTAGACTGTGTGCTCAGTGGGGCTGGTGTGCTGTGTAGGCTGGCGTGAGTAGACTGTGTGCTCAGTGGGGCTGGTGTGCTGTGTAGGCTGGTGTGAGTAGACTGTGTGCTCAGTGGGGCTGGTGTGCTGTGTAGGCTGGCGTGAGTAGACTGTGTGCTCAGTGGGGCTGGTGTGCTGTGTAGGCTGGCGTGAAAAGACTGTGTGCTCAGTGGGGCTGGTGTGCAGTGTAGGCTGGCGTGAGTAGACTGTGTGCTCAGTGGGGCTGGTGTGCTGTGCAGGCTGGCGTGAGTAGACTGTGTGCTCAGTGGGGCTGATGTGCTGTGTAGACTGGCGTGAGTAGACTGTGTGCTTAGTAGGGCTGGTGTGGTGTGTAGGCTGGCGTGAGTAGACTGTGTGCTCAGTGGGGCTGGTGTGCTGTGTAGATTGGCGTGAGTAGACTGTGTGCTCAGTCGGGCTGGTGTGCTGTGGATGCTGCCGTGAGTAGACTGTGTGCTCAGTGGGGCTGGTGTGCTGTGTAGGCTGGCGTGAGTAGACTGTGTGCTCAGTGGGGCTGGTGTGCTGTAAAGACTGGTGTGAGTAGACTGTGTGCTCAGTGGGGCTGGTGTGCTGTGGATGCTGGCATGAGTAGACTGTGTGCTCAGTGGGGCTAGTGTGCTGTGTAGGCTGGCGTGAGTAGACTGTGTGCTCAGTGGGGCTGGTGTGCTGTGGATGCTGCCGTGAGTAGACTGTGTGCTCATTGGGGCTGGTGTGCTGTGTAGGCTGGCGTGAGTAGACTGTGTGCTCAGTGGGGCTGGTGTGCTGTGTAGACTGGCGTGAGTAGACTGTGTGCTCAGTGGGGCTGGTGTGCTGTGTAGGCTGGCGTGAGTAGACTGTGTGCTCAGTGGGGCTGGTGTGCTGTGTAGGCTGGCGTGAGTAGACTGTGTGCTCAGTGGGGCTGGTGTGCTGTGTAGGCTGGCGTGAGTAGACTGTGTGCTCAGTGGGGCTGGTGTGCTGTACAGACTGGCGTGAGTAGACTGTGTGCTCAGTAGGGCTGGTGTGCTGTGTAGGCTGGCGTGAGTAGACTGTGTGCTCAGTGGGGCTGGTGTGCTCTGTAGGCTGGCGTGAGTAGAATGTGTGCTCAGTGGGGCTGGTGTGCTGTGTAGGCTGGCGTGAGTAGACTGTGTGCTCAGTGGGGCTGGTGTGCTGTAAACACTGGTGTGAGTAGACTGTGTGCTCAGTGGGGCTGGTGTGCTGTAAAGACTGGTGTGAGTAGACTGTGTGCTCAGTGGGGCTGGTGTGCTGTAAAGACTGGTGTGAGTAGACTGTGTGCTCAGTGGGGCTGGTGTGCTGTGTAGGCTGGCGTGAGTAGACTGTGTGCTCAGTGGGGCTGGTGTGCTGTAAAGACTGGTGTGAGTAGACTGTGTGCTCAGTGGGGCTGGTATGCTGTGTAGGCTGGCGTGAGTAGACTATGTGTTCAGTGGGGCTGGTGTGCTGTGTAGGCTGGCGTGAGTAGACTGTGTGCTCAGTGGGGCTGGTATGCTGTGTAGGCTGACGTGAGTAGACTATGTGTTCAGTGGGGCTGGTGTGCTGTGTAGGCTGGCGTGAGTAGACTGTGTGTTCAGTGGGGCTGGTGTGCTGTGTAGACTGCCGTGAGTAGACTGTGTGCTCAGTGGGGCTGGTGTGTTGTGTAGGCTGGCGTGAGTAGACTGTGTGCTCAGTGGGGCTGGTGTGCTGTGTAGGCTGGCGTGAGTAGACTGTGTGCTCAGTAGGGCTGGTGTGCTGTGTAGGCTGGCGTGAGTAGACTGTGTGTTCAGTGGGGCTGGTGTGCTGTGTATGCTGGCGTGAGTAGACTGTGTGCTCAGTAGGGCTGGTGTGCTGTGTAGGCTGGTGTGAGTAGACTGTGTGTTCAGTGGGGCTGGTGTGCTGTGTAGGCTGGCGTGAGTAGACTGTGTGCTCAGTGGGGCTGGTGTGCTGTGTAGGCTGGCGTGAGTAGACTGTGTGCTCAGTAGGGCTGGTGTGCTGTGTAGGCTGGCGTGAGTAGACTGTGTGTTCAGTGGGGCTGGTGTGCTGTGTAGGCTGGTGTGAGTAGACTGTGTGCTCAGTGGGGCTGGTGTGCTGTGTAGGCTGGTGTGAGTAGACTGTGTGCTCAGTGGGGCTGGTGTGCTGTGTAGGCTGGCGTGAGTAGACTGTGTGCTCAGTAGGGCTGGTGTGCTGTGTAGGCTGGCGTGAGTAGACTGTGTGCTCAGTGGGGCTGGTGTGCTGTGTAGGCTGGTGTGAGTAGACTGTGTTCAGTAGGGCTGGTGTGCTGTGTAGGCTGGCATGAGTAGACTGTGTGCTCAGTAGGGCTGGTGTGCTGTGTAGGCTGGCGTGAGTAGACTGTGTGCTCAGTGGGGCTGGTGTGCTGTGTAGGCTGGCGTGAGTAGACTGTGTGCTCAGTGGGGCTGGTGTGCTGTGTAGACTGGTGTGAGTAGACTGTGTGCTCAGTGGGGCTGGTGTGCTGTGTAGGCTGGCGTGAGTAGACTGTGTGCTCAGTGGGGCTGGTGTGCTGTGTATGCTGGCGTGAGTAGACTGTGTGCTCAGTGGGGCTGGTGTGCTGTGTAGACTGGTGTGAGTAGACTGTGTGCTCAGTGGGGCTGGTGTGCTGTGGAGGCTGGCGTGAGTAGACTGTGTGCTCAGTGGGGCTGGTGTGCTGTGTATGCTGGCGTGAGTAGACTGTGTGCTCAGTGGGGCTGGTGTGCTGTGTAGACTGGCGTGAGTAGATTGTGTGCTCAGTGGGGCTGGTGTGCTGTGGAGGCTGGCGTGAGTAGACTGTGTGCTCAGTGGGGCTGGTGTGCTGTGTAGGCTGGTGTGAGTAGACTGTGTGCTCAGTGGGGCTGGTGTGCTGTGTAGGCTGGCGTGAGTAGACTGTGTGCTCAGTGGGGCTGGTGTGCTGTGTAGGCTGGCGTGAGTAGACTGTGTGCTCAGTCGGGCTGGTGTGCTGTGTAGGCTGGCGTGAGTAGACTGTGTGCTCAGTCGGGCTGGTGTGCTGTACAGCCTGATGTGGATACTGAATCTGTTCAGTGGTGCTGATGTCTTTTAGACTAAACTGTGTTTATTTTCTTAGCATTGCTTCATTTAGATCTGTTCAAAATAAAAATATTTATCCACCCATATGTTGATATTGATTTTTCCTTTCTTTGTGATTCATCACAAAAACCAGATAGCACTATTGTTTATAGATATGAACTAACAAGAGGTAAATAGTAAATATTTAATTGTAAATGGTAAATATCATATGCTGTCTTTATTGCTTGTAATGGCCATATAGTAAGCGTGTGGTATTTTTCGCAGACATGTTTATAGCTGCATTGATTTAAAAACCTAATAACGGAGGGGTTCCTCCAGACCCGCAAACATTGGCTGAGTAACAAAAACATGAACACCACACAAGGGTTAAACTCACTGCCAGCTGTTTAAAGTTGTGATTAAGCTTGTGTTTTGTAGTATTTCATTTCTGTAATCACTAATAATTAACAACAGAAAGCATTAATATCTCGTTTCCAGCGTTTCTAGACTGTTGCATAACTAAGTGTCTATGGGGAAAAATATCCCAAAACTCAATGTTAATACAATCAGTGTTTTTGTGTTAATTAATTTGTTGTTACCAAATAAATATGTTGACATCACTGGGTTGCATTAGATGCATATCACTAGTGCTTTGAAATTTTGATTTGCTGGTTGTTCTTTATGGGAAAACAATAAATTATTAAAGCGTGGCCCATTCAAATAGATCAAGTCTCCTTACTTTACAGTAAAGCTAAGAGTGCAGGACACTGAACCAAGTAAACTGTTCATTTATTCACCGATAGCAACATTACTGGTGAACACATACGTTTTATTTTGTTTTATGTTTGAAATTGTTAGATGTGACCAGAATAAATAATGTTCCATTACATGAAATGTGCTTTCATATGTAACCCAATAAACATAATTGACTTTTATCATTCCATTTTGAAGAATCATGATTACATGATCTGAAACAGGACCAGGACCTAACAACATAAAGAAGTTCGGCTCTGCATCTGACAGGTTTCCAGCACTTACTGTGATTTGTGGAGAGGTAGACAAGTTCAGAGTTACTGACCAGACTACGATAAATACCAACTTCATTCATAATATGTGATGTCATAAGCAATATTCAATTATTGGAAATCACCCTTTTCACTAATGTTACAACATTCCTACGTGTCAAACTGTAAAATGTAAAAACTCAAAAATGTAAAAATGTTCAAATGTCAGGCGATGTAAATATATTTTTATGTGCTATATGTTTATAAATATATGTTGTGGCTGTCGTTGTGTTTGTGCTGCTGACAGTGGAGAACTGTTCACTACAGCTGCAGTACCTTTAACAGTTCCTGTAAATGGCCTTGGTTGTAGTTACAGCAGGAATGAATCAGTTTACTGTGGAGACCATTTGAGGAGATAAAGCTCAGGCAGCAGCACTGAATCTAGATAACTCTGACAGACTCTCTGTACAGGACACAGTCAGGGTGAACGGTAACCTCACAAACTGCTTATAAGAAGACATTTCCAACTTTGGATATATAATATTGAGGAATACACATCACCACAGGAAAATTATGCTATTAATAAACTAATTTAAAAAGAAAAACCGTAATAACGATTGAATGTACATTAAGGAAAAGTATAATAAAAGGAAGTGTATTATCTAAGAGTTAAGGATATGAAAAAAAATTAATAGTTATTCATTATTAATTGACTATTATTAATTATGTGGTTTCTACTGATCACAAAATGAATTATTTTAATGTCACTTAGAAAATGAATAATTCAGTTTGTAGCACATTAATGCATTTCTAACAATTTACATAATTATAAGCAAACTTTAACTCTAACTGTTGCATAATTATTTAGCTGCTTCTTCGTGTTATTAAAAATGAAAATGCAGCCCAGGTTTTACATGGTTACTCACTTTCTTCTCCATGGTTTAAAGGTGGGGAACAAGGCAGAGTAGAAGATCCAGAAACTTCCAAACAGACTGAAATAAGATCCACATGTGCAGAGAGAATGAAGAACACTCAGCATTTAACATATGAACTGTGCTAAACTGATCTGGAACTACTTGATTATGATCTCTGATGGAGTTAAACATTAAACAGTTATAAGTTAATCAATAAGAAATCTACCAGCTCGTCCTGTGGTTTTCAGATCTCCTGTGAACTGGAACTGCACCGCTGTCCTCTGATCAGCTTTACTCTGCAGATCTTTATCCCAAAGAGATGATGAGAGTCACTGTAAAACAGGTCCATAAATGCATATTAGTTAGTTTAGTACATCATGTTGTGCTGAAAAAAGATACAAAATCAATTAACACAACAATCTAATACATGTGTGTGTGTGTGTGTGAGAGAGAGAGAGAGACAGAGAGAGACAGAGTGAAAAATTTGAAAATATTTCAGGTTTTTTTTCAAAATATTTCAGGAAATGTGGACAAAGCACTGCTGTGTGCAAAACCTGACAGCCATATGAGAAACATGTAGCAGCTCTGCTCCTTCAGGCTGTACATGTTGAAATGAACTTGAATCGAATTACATCGACTCAGTAATCAATCGAAGTGTAATCAATCGGCTTGTTACCTGTTTAACTGAATGGTTTCTGTATCATATCATGAACTGTGTATCGAGATGTGTATCGCCTGAAAGGGTTAGATTCGCTCCTCTGTGCTGAGCTGTTATAAAAGACATATTTAACTGTACAACGTTCAACAAACAGTCAGTGACATCTTTGCTTTTTCAGGAGTTATTGCCACATTATTACCCTTTGGGGCTCAGGACTGAAATCAGAAATTTTTCACTTCACTCTGAGCAGAACAAGCATTTTAACATTTAACAGAACAGAGAAAAGATGTAAACGACAACTCTGCATGGAGCAAACTCAAATATGACATTTCTTTCAATGTAGAATTATTATTTATTTGCTGATTTTAACATATTGGGAAAAAAAACAAAAACAAACATGGCCTGTGTATAAGTTTTAGCACCTGTTGAGCCTTAGTGAACTGCCAAATGTTTATTGTAGCCAGTGGAATTAGAGGAATTCTTTATTTCCTCTGTACTACCAACATTTCCTGAACTACTAAACCTGAATGTATAACAGATCCACCTCCATTCTAAGTGTTCTTTTCTTCGAATGCTGTTCCTTTTTTTCTCTAAACATTGCTTTGGTTATTGTAGCCATAGAGTTCTTTTTTTCATTCCTTAGTATTTGGTTCTGAAATGCTTCTGGTTTATATAAGTGCTATGTTACTTATCTCAGACCCTGACTTTTTGTACTATGGTTTCTTTCTCATCTCTTCCATGTAGATGTTTGTTCAACAGCACTACACAGTGCACCAGTGCAGCACTGATCTTGCATCAGTCAAATCTTCCTGTAGGTCCCTGGCAGTGATGTGGGGGTTTTGCTTTGCACACCTGACCAGTTTATGGGCTGTTCTATCTAAGAATTTTCTTGGTGTTCCAGATCTTGTCTTAACCTTTCTCCCTAAGTTCCTTTTCTTAATGACATTTCAGACCAGAAAGTGTTTAAATGTGTTTTATATTGTGTTGTTTTGTAGGCCATGTAACCATGGCTGTTAAATGTAATCACAACATATGGAGAGGTTTGAAAGGTCACAGTCTAGTATACTGGGAACCGTGTAGACCAGGCATGGAGTAAGGCCTGATGAGTCAAATAAACTTACAAAAAATTACAGTAATGGATCAACTGAAAGGGTGTCCAAGCTTTTTTTGCCACATTTTTTCAATATGTTAAATTCAGCAAATAAATAGTTATAGTATATATTTTGTAGAAATGTGTGTCATGTTTAAGTTTGTTCCATGCAGATGATATATATGAACCACTACAGGCTAACTTTAATGTTAACATTACACTGTAGCTGCCACACATCAACAGCATACCCAGCTGTCACTGTGTCTTAAGATGTCTTAAGATGTCTTGACAGTGTTTATAAGATGTCTTGAGACATTTTCTTATGCCAAGACGTCTCAAGAACGTCTTAAGACATATGAGTGAAGACACTGTCTTTGTCCTGAGACATGAAAGTTAACGTCTTAAGACAAAGAAGTAATTATTTTGTGTGTCTTGAAGACGAGGCATGACTTAAGACATCACTTTGTCTTAAGACACAGAGATGTTGTGTCTTAAGACAGTTCAGTTGAGTCCAAAGAGTGGTCCATTACAAAAGGTCCTGTGGTATGAGTGTGGTATTCCTGTGGTACTGCCAGACTGAAAATTACTACTGAGGATTACCAGGATTACCACAGCACTGCCTAATGTACAATATAATGAGAATATAACTATATAAGAGAGAATATAAGTATGTCCTCAAGAAACAGCCTGCTGTAATCTTATGGTTTTTGTGTGATATTACTAAAAGAACATTCACTAAGGTTTTACTTGCTGTACTTTTGTGATTCTTTTTTTTTTGTATGTTTTGTTTTTTGATTATTGCAGAAATGTGTTTACAGTGGCAAAATAGCAAAAGAAAAAATCAATTCTTAAACCATTTACCTTACCTTAAAATGTTTAAACTCATTTCCTTATATCATTGAAGTTCATGGTAGAATAACTTTTAATTTGTAACATGTACCAAAGGAGATAATCACAGTCAGTCACAGCCTTTTGCTCATTTGCAGAAAACATGCTATGATTAAAACAACATTGATCTATTTTCAAATGTACAACTGTAACCAGAGACAACAAGCTAGGAACCAAGATAAAACAACTTTGAGCTAATAGGAAGTAAATGTACTTAACAGCTAACCTGAGTACTTTAGAGATCACATACCACCAAAACTTAATGCAGAAAAAGCACTTGGTTCACTCTCTTCATCATCTACACTTCTGTTTATTTTCTTAAGCAGATCAGGGCTGCCCAAAGTTAGACTTTTAATTTGTATAACTTTCAAAATTATTATTTCCAGGTATTTGGAAAACATGAACAATAATAAACAAATGTATTTGAGTACTAATATAAAGACCTGTATTGTTTCACCACGTAAAATTACATAATAAACAGATTTTTGTTTAAATGTCCAACTTCATACTTTGACTTTAATACAGGTTTATAAGTTATAAAGGGAATATATAATGCCTTCCCTTTTATTTACTGTGTTATGTAGCTTTTTGTGTGTGTAAGATAAAAGCTGAAAGTATCTGCCAGAGGGAGAAACTCTTTCCCACAGAAACCACTTTTCTCAGCTGCCTGAGGGCTGGAGTTCCCCAGCCCTTTTCCTTTGTTACAAGATGATGTAATCCCATAACACAATCCTTATTGCCCACCTACCAGCGAGCTTGGCACGCCCTCACACAACGCAACGCATCTACGGGAGCCCGTGTATTGGCAGAACCGCTCTGGTGCTTGATCAGTCAGAGCCAAGTGAGCGAGCTAACTAATCTGAGCATACTGGGCTCATCAGGAAGGAGGGGCTTAAAGACACTGGAGCTCTAACAGAGCATTTCAGACAGAGGGTGAGTAAAAAATTACAGTATGAGAAAAATAATGTGTTTCTGCAACACTGAAGCATGTAAATGTATTATAGTCGACCCCAAAAATAAATTTATGAACATTGGAAATTAGCATAACAGGTCCCCTTTAAATTCAGCCTGCTTGTGTACGCAGATCCAAAAGTAACTTCAAATTTATTGTCTTAAAATTGATTTTTTAACAGATGCATTTTCCTCATATCTCTGACAAAAAGACCAACACTGAGAAAAAACAGAGGAAGAAGCGACGGGCTGTGAATCTGACAGCTCTCTCACTCATCACGGATTTAACTCTAAAAGGAGAGATCGGTAACATTAGCAGTGTGATATCAGTAATGTTAGTGTTCAGGCATTACGGCATGGACATATGCACACTGAGTTATCTGTGTCCTGTTTCCTGTGTCCACATATGTCCACATAAAATGTCCACAGCTTGATTCTATTCCAGCTCCCAGCACATCTGAGTCTGGTATTAAGTGTTTGACAGCTGATCATTACCTGGCTCAGGTATGTTAGGAGTGCTGCTGGGGTTCAGACCTCTGTATTACTCTGTTGGTCAGTTTTTCTTTTTAGTCCATATGAATTAATCTTAAAATTGTTTCCCATCATTTATAATTGTTCATAGTACTATATTGTTAATAACCTCAGCATAACTTATATACGGAATAACAGCAGACCTTAAAATCAGATTCATTGGTTTGTGGAACTGAGTATTTATTGCAGTATATTTTAAATTTCTACACAAAGTCAGTTAACATGTTTTTCTCCGTCTGTAGAACATATCAAGTGTGATGACGCTATTGTACTGTGCATATACACAGTTGTAAAAACAATAAACAATAGCTGTAATTATATTTTTGAAAGCTATGTGGGTGCTTTTTCATGGGCTATGCTTTGGATTGAGTAAATTGTTTGAATATAGAAGTATTTTGAATTTTTAACAGATTAACAAGGAAATACAAAACTGTAAAATAGTGATTTTCCATACCCCTTTAAATTACTTTACTGTAATTTATGCATACTTATTATTGTTCTTGTTCTCCTTCTTATTATTATTATTTTAAAAGTTGATAAAATGATACCTTCATTAAAAAATGAAGCAACTGTAAAATAATCATTGTAAAAAAATGTATTTTTAACACATTTTTACCACGTTTTAAAACATTAAGGGTTAATTACTATAAAAAAGGTATTTCAAAGAACTGAATTAGATTTTTTAATTTTGCAGCAACGCTGTATTACAAAATAGTTGCATAAGAGTCTTCCCTCATACTACCAACATGTTGAAGGCATGGTTTGAACTCACAAATAAATTTTCACTGATTCCATGAGCTTTTCTAATGCAACAGAAACATTTAAAGGGGAATTCCACATTTTTGTACACTTGATTCTGTCCTTGCGATGTAAACAAAGTCATTTAGTGGTTTCATATAAAATGGTTATTGTAGAGAAAGCTACAGACTGGGAACCATGTGCCTATTATTATTATTATTATTATTACTTTTGTTGTTAAATTTGTTCTGAAATGTATAAATGTAGTATGTACTAATATATGTAATGTTTGTATGTTTATAAAACAATATACAATATATGTATTCAAATAAATGATACCATTATGCATCCTACACAGAACAAAAAAAATAAATAATGAAAAAAAATTAATTACTAGAATTTTTGCTATAAATAATGTTACGTTTTAAAAATCCCTTAAAAATATTTAAAAGTAAAAGATTTATTTTAAAAAATGTAGGTAAAATTTAAAAATACGTATTATGCATCCTACATCTTGAGACGTCTTGGGATGTTATTATTGCCAAGACATCTTAAGATCCGTGTCTGTAGACACGTCTTAAAGACATGTCTTTATGTCTTAAGACATGCCTCAAGATGTCCTAAGACGTCTTCATAATGTGTCTTTAGACATGTCTTAAGACGTCCCAAGACATGGTGATGGCTGGGTATGAGCTTCTTATCCTAAAGAGAGCTCTAGATGCTCCATGCTCTGTCCTGTCTTTACCAAACCTGTACAGGTGCTGAATACTGAACACATAACTATAACATATTTCTCTGTCTTAGCCCTTATTTCTCTCTGCTTTTGTCTGTTTTGGTTTCCTTTCTACACTCCAGCTCCTCCTATGTCATTGATAAGCCTGTCTCCACCCACAGCATACCTTAGTTCCTTATTTGGTACTTCCTCCACCTCTTTCCTTTCTGTTGCTCAGCTCAGCTCTTTGTGAGACTCTCCTGCTGGAACGTGAGCGGTCGTTTGTCGAGATCTCATATTTGTTTCAGGATTGTTTCATTACTCCAGTTTGTTTTCTGTTGTTTGGTTTTTCATGTCACCCAGTCTCCACATTTCCTGTCATCTCAATCATCAGTAAAGCACGTTACTAACACTTACCTACTGTCTCCCTCCCCTGTCTCTGGTCTCCTGGGAAGCCCTGATTTTAATAGTAATCCATGCACTGAGTGCAGTGTTCAGATAAACATGGAAATTGAGATGAAACTCTGTAGCTGTATTGATTGTCACTGTCCTGACAAAAAATCCTCTCTTGAAGTGATCATTTTAAACAAGACCAAAGCTCATATGACTAAGAAAAATCAGGGAAAAAGGAGAGAACAGAAACAAGGAACTTAAATAAAATGAATATTGATAAAAAAATAATTGAAAGTGATGATTACCTTGTTTCCTGTATCTTCATGTACACCTGGCAGTGCCCTGGTCAGGTGTGAAACTGACTGCTGCTGATCCTCCAGTGAGACTCAGAGAGGGAGGAGCTTGTGATCTGGGTGTGACTGCAGGTGAGATCCTGAAATGTCTGAGTTTCGTTTTCTCCTCCAGCACAATGACTCATCTGTTTCAGCTCATCTGCTCATTATTACGTCAAATCAGGACATTATATAGATAAATCAGGCATAGTAGAGGAGCACCTTTAACCTGACGCAGGATGTGGAAACAGTGCATTGATGAAACTAAAACATGCACTGGAAAGTGGGTCACTGATTATTTTTATTCAAATGTCTATATTATTTGCACAGACAGGATTTCTTATGTTTTATGTTTTCTAATGTTTTAGACAGCCAACTGGCCCAACAGGAACAGGACTTTTCATTCTGGTAATTTTGGACTTTCTGACCTTTAGAGTCTGAGTGAGGATCTTAGAGTGAACTTCTCTTTTTTCTACTAACTTTAATATTTCCAGCTTCACCGTGAACAAATGATCAGGACCAAGGACCTCGTGACCCACACCGGTGAACCACATGCGTAAAACAAAACAAAACAAAACCTAAATTTCTGTGGCAGTACACTTGGATCCCTGGTTGACACAATCTGTGGACAATCTGGAGTTTTGACAGTGTACGTACAGTATGTGTGCAGTGTGTGAGTCTCACCAGCCTGGGGGGGTTGGGGGGGGTTGGGAGGTTGTACAGTCCATGTACAGTATGTGTGCAGTGTGAGTCTCACCAGCAGGGGGAGTATATTTACAGTATATGTACAGTATGTGTGCAGTGTGTGAGTCTCACCAGCAGGGGGAGTCCTGATCCTGAGCTGTGTGATTGCTCTATCAGGTCTCTGAGAGACTCTCCTGCTGGAATGAAGCTCTCGTCCTTCTCCAGACTCAGACTGTACTGAGTGGCCGATACCTGGCAAATGGGGGTTACTTCTTCATAAACGTATGATCAAAAATGTTCCTACTTTTTCTAAATTTGATAAACTTAAGAGAGTGGCAGTTTTACATGTACAAATCGGACCTGTGTTTGTTTTCTAATCAGTGTTTCTGTTTTATATAGATTTAGTTTTATTTGAAGGAATATACTGATGTAAATTAAGCACATATATCACGCTGTCTTTCTCTGTAGTATTGTCTGTAGTCGCTGTATTTCGAATTGCTTCTTAAAACATTCTCTGCGTTAATCCAGCTTTAGAAAAGTGTGCAAGCAGGTTTGGGTTGAGGTCAGGTTTCAGATGTAGCAGGACCATTCAAGCAGGGCTTAATCCCTTAATCAGTCTTTCCATGCATAAATGCATAACACAGTTTCATGCCAGATTAAGGATCACAAAGAATGTATATTTGTACGTGTATTTTCGTGCGTTTCTTTGTGTGACACTCCATGCTCCCCCCACCTCGCTGTTTGGTGGTTTTCTCCATCTTATGATGTCACCTCAGTGCACAGGAGTTGTAGTTTATATGTAGCAATATTAGCACTTTGGCTCCTTAATGAACTCATAAGAACTCAGACATCCGATGGAAAAATGTCCATAAAGCCAAATGTATCCACTTTAGAACATGTTTGTTTACCACAGGGTGCTACAGCTGGGATTTTCGAAAACAGCATTAATTTTCCCCCTAGAGAAAACCAGCTAAGACCTAAAGTTCCTTACATGAGCATGACACCAAACACAAAAGAAGGCCACAACTTCTGAGGTTCATAAAGTAGGTGTCTGTGATAAAACGGTCAATGAAGGTAAGTCTAAGAAGTACCTAAACTGGCACCTCAGTGTAAATGTGAGTTTATCAGAGAGCGTGTGTGGGTGCACTACCTGCAGACGTTTTGAAAAAGAGTCCAATGACACAATTAATTTAGAGAAAGGACATGGATGTAAGAGCAGGAATAATGGGTGAAGAAAAGACCAAACACTGAAGTCGGTGCACAGCAGTCCAGGTTCAGGTTAAGTGAGTAGTCTGATTTCTGCACTCTGGTCACCCTTCAGTCTAATAAACAGCAGTGGTTTAGTTCAGTTCAGCTTCCTCATTAATCTCCATTTAAGCTTCAAAAGAGACATCAGGTTTCTCTGGTTTTAGAGATCAAGTACAGCATCCAGAGAAACTAACAGCACAGCAGAGTGAACTAAGAAAAAGGTAGTAATTCGGAAAATATTTTTGTTAAATCTGTAATTTAATTCTCCGTAATTTATGAACAAAGTGCTGATAAACTACCTGAAATATTAAAAGATAAAGTGGATAATATAATCAAATAAAAAATCTAAATCAAATCGCATTTATTGTCACAGCACATTTACACAGATGGAAAGGTGAGTGAAGATCACGAAGTGCAATTAAGCACTAGTTTTTTGTACATTTCCAGTGTAGAGTTGTACAGTAATAAGTTATGAAATAAAAGTATGAAATGTACTGTTGTACACATTCCATATGTGCAGTTAGTCTGAGGTAGATAATAAATGAGATGCAGGTACTCAGGGGATACAATACTGATATAGAAATCCTCCAGATTATACAAGATAGAAGACATACAAGATGTCAATCTGTGTGTGTAAGTATAGATTTGCTGTATTGAAGGTGCAGAGGATCAGAGTGAGTCTGTTGGTGTGGATGAGGTGGTGATTGTCCATGGAGATGATGATGCAGAGGTGCAGTGACAGGCCTATGGACCGACACACCAGCACTACTGGCTGTTCAGCAGCCTGATGGCCCGGGGGAAGAAACTGTCTCAGAACCGGCTGGTTCTGGACTTTGTGCTTCTGTACCTCCTCCTGCTGAGCACACAGCCCTGAGGAGCTCCGGTGTTAAGGGTCAATGAGGAGGAGGTGATGTTGCCCATCCTTACCACCTGGCCTCGGCCCATCAGGAAGTGCAGGATCCAGCAGCACAGAGAACTGTTCAGACCCAGATCCCGAAGCTTAATGTCGAGCCTTGAGGGCACGATGGTGTTGAATGCTGAGCTGCATTCTCACATACGGGTTCTTTTTGTCCAGATGGGAGAGGGCAGTGTGTAGAGTCAGGGCTATTGCATCATCAGTGGATCTGTTCTGTCTGTAAGTGACCTGCAGTGGGTCCAGAGTGGCGGTAGCGAGGAGCAGATAAAGTCTCTGACCAGCTTCTCAAAGCACTTGCTTATAATAGAGGTCGGAGCAACCGGGCGCCAGTCATTTAGAGTATTGACCCTGGCTGACTTTGGAACTGCACTCAGGAACTAATCTTTCTGCACTAAGGTCTTCTTGTAACAGTATGAGCAGATTGCAAGTAACAAGTACATCTCAGGTCTTTACACTTTACACAAGTCCCCAGTCAAGATAGTCGAGTCTCAATTTAAGTCCCGAGTCAGTACAGGCGAGTCTCAAGTCAATAGTCCTAATCCTCCAGTCCTAAACAAGTCAGTCTGCATTCTTCAGCTAATTTAAGGCCACAACACTGAACAAAGGTAACAGTACTGGAGTAATGCAACTATACATGAAAAGAATTTGAAAAAGTACTACTGAGCTTAATCTAAAAACAAAAACTTTATATTTGAAGATACTTTTTGATGGTTTTTGGAAACATTGAGTGCACAGGATAAAAAAAAAAAAAACTAGCTCAGCACTAAAAATAACCGCTAGTTTGAACTGAATTTAAACAACAACAGAGACCAAAACAACCGAGCTGAACAGAGTTTACAGAAAAGACAGTAAAGTAATGGTGAATGTACGAAGCTGAAGTTGACTTTTTTCGCCAGCTGCTTCTTATTGGGATTTTCCATTTCACCTTAAATGGTGCAGCAGTTATGTTCTGGCGCTTCACTGCTACACCATTTAAGATGGAACGGCAAATTCCAAAATGAAGCTGGCGGATAAAAAGCCAACTTCAACCTCAATCGGTCGACCAGAGACAGCTGTGTTTTTTATTTTGTTTTGCTGCCGTGATGAAAACAGTCAGTTCGCCTGGTGAGTTTCTCCAGTAAGACTGGAGTTAAAGTGCTGAGGGTGCATTGATGCTGTTGACACTTCGCTTGTTTCCAGCTTATGGAGGAGAACTAACACTTCACTCGTCTTCCGAAATAAAATAAACACAGAAGCACACATCTGACGATGCTGCTGTTTATTCAATTTACGGCAGGCAACGAATCCATTCACATTAAAAATTAATCGGCTATGTAGAGTCCCGTCAGACTCTACATAGCTGAAACACCCACTGGGAGCAAACACCCAATGCCTCCTGGAGTTGGTGCTGATGTAGATGTACATACATCTTTATATGAGCTCATAAGTAACTGCAGATTATTAATAATCAGAGCATGCATGTTTGAGTACTAACCTTCTTTCACCTTCCTAGAATTCCTCTGCAGGAACATATCCAGTGTGCTCACTGCTGACAGGAGAGTGTGTGCTGTTCGAGGTCAGTGTCACTGACAGAGCTTTTAAATGATGTTTACAGTGATTGTTTGTTTGTAAATAAAGTGCTTAAAGTTTGTACAGCTGGCACAGGTGTATTTGGGTTATAGAGAGGAACTCAGAAGTAATGAGTAGTGAGATTTCTTTTAACAGACAGTAATTGGTAATCATTACAGTTATAATAGCAAAAATGGGTTGTGTTAGAACACTTAGTGTGATGTTAAGCTAAAATTGGTTGTGTTATATAGCTTATGAGTACAAATGTAACCAAGAGGCCTACATCCAGTTGACGAGCTGAAATGTAGAAAATAATCAAAAGTGCCAGGATTCTCTCTAAAAAGAAAGTCTTACAGAGATAGGTTGCTCGGAATGCTGGCATTCTCTCAGTTGCTTTTATCTCTATTTAAAAAAGCTGCAGGAAATATGTTCTGTCCACACCTCAGGTTAAAGACCGACACCACCAGTTTACTGTGAGCTCTAGTAGAAGCACAATAGTCTCACAATTATCAGCAAACCCATCACTTCAGCTTCATATAAATACAAATGTACACCATGTAAAACTCCAAAACACAGTAATGAAGTAGACCATGAGGCTGGATTCAAGGGTGAGTTTTATTGACAACAGATTTCACATGTCCAAGAATCGATT